TCGATTATCGCATTTGCAATTAGCCCGTCCAAATTACGAGAGACATTACCTCTTTGCATAAATAGACGGACAAGCTTTTGAAGTTCTCTTGCTTGCGAACACGCGAAATCTCGATTGTGTTTCGTGACGCAACTCGTCGAAAGCTAAAACAGAGAACCCTAAATCGTATCTCGATGGCGCGATATTGTCGAAACTTTGCGACTCGTATCTTGTATTCGTGTAATTTTCAGCAGCAAGCAGAATTTTTTTATCAACACCCCCAAAACGTAACCGATTATTATCTTGTCCGCGTACATGCCCCATTAACGTCGATCGAAGATAATTATCGGAGAACATACATTTTTTTAAGTATACATTTACTTATCTTTTATTTTTCATTTCCTAGATATATATTACATTTGAGATATATTTCATTCTTGAATTGCTCTTTTATACTAAGCGCATAATGATAATATTATATGAGATATGAAAAAAGTAGATCTCAGTTAATTTCTAGGCGAGTAAAAAATCCAAGCATAATTGAGGCAGAATTAATTTACTTCTGCCCATTAACTTTGCATTCAGGTTCATTGCATTATAGTCTGGGTTATTTATTTACAAACCGGAAGCTCATTGGTAACCTGGCTCGGCGACGTTGCGGCGGTAGAAGACGAGCCGGAGAAACGACTGCTGGTGGCTTAATTGCTCAGGGATTTCAGCTCGTTATGGTGTCTCAGGAACGCTTACATAGTCCGTTACAGCGGTTTCGTTAAAGTTCGGTCCCCGTCCATTTACCATACGGAACCAAAATTTCCATCCGTCATTGGAATCTTAAGACGATCGCGGCTTTCCTCCTCGCTTAGTAGCTGCAATTTACTCAATCTTTCTATCATTGAGGATCAACGTATCCATTGCATGCGTCTCATTATATTATTGAACACTTAATCGAACGTTCAAACGAATGTAATCACGTGACCGACGCTTAAAATCAGCCTCATGAAGAACCAATATGGAAGAAAAATGTCATTAAAAATGTTTTTATTTTAACAGTTGTTGTATTAAAATTTGCATATCGTTGTATTGTGTCAATTTGGAATAATATATTATTTTTTTATTCTTGATAGGAGTTCATTTAACTGCTGCTTTTATTTTTTAAAATTTCAATTTTAGCAGAAATATTTTTTTTTCAAAATAACTCGTTTTTAGATATATCTATATATCATTTATATATTCCGGTCACCTCTAACGTCTTATACTTTATGAGAGCTATCTTATTTAATACAGTTTTTCCTCGGTCTTTCACGATTTTCTCACCGCTCGGCACTTAATATCCCCACCTTTGATCCGAGAGACCTCGCGATCAATCCATGGCTTTCGGTCGCTACCTCTCCCTAAGTTCGTACTGTCTCGTGAAAATTTCTCGATGTGTACCACCGGCGAGTCTATCTTCGGGGTGTAATTCGCGAACCTCAACGGAATACCAATGTCGCCGCCGCTATTCTCTATCGTCGTCCTCGTCGTTCTCCATTCTCTCCGTGAGTGGTCATAAAAGTTTAGAGGAAAGCCCATTCGGGACGGGGAGAGAGAGGAGGAAGAGATGGGGGAGGAAGGAGATAGAATGAGAATCTCGCGAGGTAAGAAAAAAGATGGATAGCTCGTAGATGGTCTACTTTATTGCGACATTGGACATTATATAGCTTATGAAGGCGAGATGGTGGAGCAGAAGCAGGATCCGCGCAGGATCACAGGGTGAGAGAAAAAGAAGAAGATGGAGAGCTTTCGCTCGTGAATGAATGATCAATCGTCCCGCATATTGACTGATATGGTGAGAGGGCCAAAATGAATTTTTATACACTGATCGTTTGCCGTTCATTCACGGTTGAACG